TCTCGTAATTTTTTTCTTGGGTAATTTTTAGGTAACAAGTTGACTAAGAGTCTTAGGGTTTGATAGTGGTGCAAAAGTTTAAACTTGAGCAATTGGTTGAACAGGTGGTTGGGGAATGAAAGGCTGAAGATTTTAGTTCAGACATGGACTTCTTGGAGATTGTATGAAGCTTTTAGGGCTTGATCGTAGATGTTTGGAAAAAGGTTGAAAATAGTCATGGGAAGGATTTGAATGCAAATTTGAGCTTGAAACAATTAGTGAAGGCTACACAAAACCTAGTAACCTCGTCCTGAAAATCAAATTCTGGAGCTCAGATACTTGAATAGTCAGATTACGCATCCCTTTCATGATCTTATCAAAACCTCCATTATTGCTCAAAACATGCTTTGAAAGTTTACCAGGCATAATGGGAATTGGTTAATCATGACTTCATGAATTCATAAGACTTATTTGGGTTGAAGTTGGTAAAGAGTTTTAAAAAGGTGTCAAAGTAAATTTTTTGAGTCTATTCACAGTCTTTGTAAACTTAGCGAGTTGTTTTGTTACCTCTCGAATGTCATGACCAAACTCCTCTCAATTTCATTCTAACGCACTAATTCGGGCCTCCTATTGACCTTCCATACTTTTGGCTTATTATACTCACTAACAAAAATATTATTTCAAAGGTTTACTACCAACAATGTTTATGCTATTATTCTTACTGAATGAAAACACAATTCCTAATTTGCATGCGACATATCTATGAATGCTTGAATATGATAATGATACAAAGATATACACAATTAAATAGAATAACCCAAAAAATATACAAACTAACTTAATGATGAACGGAATGACTAAAAAAAACAAACTTCTTACCTATCCAAATCCCCCATTTTTTCTTTATTCATCTCTTTTTGTTTATCCTAATTTTATTTACACTATTATTACCCTTTAACACAAACTATATCAAAATGCCCCACCTATCATAATTTGGATAATTTTTATGAAAAAAAATGGCATGGCTTTGGACTACTAAATGATTTTTACAAAAGGTTAACACCACTAATGGCTTTATGAGAACTCTTTCTTTCTTTGCCTTTTTTTTTTCTTTTTTTTTCAATGAATGACCTTAAATAAATGCCACATCTATAAATAAATAAATAAATAAATAAAATGACTCAAGAATTCAAAACAAACAAGTAAGAGAAATAATATAACAACCATGCAACAAAATAATATAATGTATACTGTCCTAACTTTTGGTAATTTTCTAAAAATGTGGTATGGCTTTATCCTAGATAGGCTTCCTATGCCTCTTAATATGCTGGGTTGGGTTTTATTTTTCTAAGGTTCCCAGACTATTCCTTACATCATTGTCTGTTATAGACTAGTAAGGTTCCCCGATGCTCATCCATTACGGGCTATTAACGAAAATGTTTCAATCTGAGTGAAAGTGTTTTGCTAGGAAATGCGGAGGTTATCACCTCACGAAAGCGTAGCTACTTCACCTCCTCTTAAAAGGATAGAGCCTAGGTCTAGAGCTCTTGCATGTAAATGCATATGCAAAAGCATACAATGTAATCAAAAATATCATTAATAAATCATAAACACAAAATCAAAACAAAATAATAACTAACATATAATTTATTTTGTTTATTAACTTGTATGTATACATATTTTGAAAAATTAAACTAAAAGTAATTAAATTAAATATCAAATAAAACCAATTAAATCCAACCACTGTTAATAACATATAATTAAAATTTTGGCCCAACTTTCAAAGGTTCTCAGTGCAGTCACCAAGCTGTCGTAACGATTTTGGACCGTCAGAGATAAAATGTTTTAAAATCTAAAAAAATAAAAAGGAGTCGCCACCAATCTTTGTTAGGGTGTGATTGGTCATTCAAAAGTTTATCTTTTCAATAAAACTATAAAAGTGGGTTTAAAGTTTATCAAAAAGATAAATTTCGATCTACGAAAACCAAGTTGGATTCGGGAGTCGGTTACATGTAGGAAGGATTAGCACCCCCCACAACGCCCATAAATTGGTACTATTTAATCATGCACTATTTTCAATATTGGGTGAAATGGTTTTGATTTGATATTTAATAATATATAAATTCCCTTTTATATTTTTTTAATTAATTTTATCAAAATTCTTTATTTAAAATATCGAAGAAATCTCTAAGTTAAAGAATTACTTTAAAATTCTCCAACATCTAGGCAGAACTTTAAAGATAATATGTTTCACTGATATTTTCTACGACATCGCTTAAAAATAAAAATAACATCATTTGCAGAAGATAATTGTTGGTGACTTTCCAACATCTAGGCAGAATACCAAGAATTATTTTTTTCAAAATGTTATTTTTGTTTTATTTTATAACTTCACAACTTTAAAAATATTTTTTTTTTATCTTGTAAAACATTTTATAAGAGAAAGTAAGTAATGGAATTGTCAGGTAATAAATAAAAATTAAAGACAGAGAAATACAAAATGAGCGTCAACAATAATATAGTGATGCATGTATATCTATGGATATTTATGCCAAATGATAAAATGCAATTTAAATAAAATGGGATCTTAAATATAAATAGTCATACCTAAACTCCGCTTAGATATTGGGGAGTAAAAGTGGTCTCATTATATTAAGAATCTATTTTTTTAAAATTGCATTTTATCATTTGGCATAATATCCATGGGCATACATGCATCACTATATTATTGTTGATGCTCATTTCGTATTTATCTGTCTTTAATTTTTATTTATTACCTGACAATTCCATTATTTACTTTCTCTTGTAAAATATTTTACAAGACAAAAATATATATATTTTTAAAGTTGTGATATTATAAAATAAAACAAAAATAGCATTCTGAAAGAAATAATTCTTGATATTCTGCCTAGACGTTGGAGAGTCACCAACAATTATCTTCTGCAAATGATGTTATTTTTATTTTCAAGGGATGCCGTAGAAAATATCAGTCAAAAGTATTATATTTAAAGTTTTGCCTAGATGTTGAAGAATTTTAAAATAATTCTTTAACTTAGATTTTCTCGATATTCTTAAATAAAGAATTTTGATAAAATTAATTAAAAAAATATAAAAAGGAATTTAAATATTATTAAATATCAAATCAAAACCATTGCACCAATATTGAAAATAGGGCATGATTAAATGGTACCAATTTATGGGAGTTGTGGGGGTGCTAATCCTTTCCCCAAATGTAACCGACTCCCAAATCCAACTTGGTTTTTGTAAACTGAAATTTATCTTTTTGATAAACTTTAAACCCGTTTTTATAGTTTTATTAAAAATATAAACTTTTTGGTGGGCAATTACAACCTAACAAAGATTGGTGACGACTCCTTTTTATTTTTTTAGATTTTAAAATACTTTACGTCTGACAGTCCTAAAACCGTTATGACACATACACACAGATATATATATATATATTTATGAAGTATTCATCTTAAAATTATTTGGTAATAAGTAGAGAGTTCAAAATTGAATATATATTCACACGAAACTCAAATTTTAATAAGTAAAAAGATCAAACATATATTGGATAACACTCTTTAATAAGTTCCCATCATATATAAACAAAGATAAAAAGCTTAACATGTAACAAACTTGGAAGAGATAACAATAAGAATAATAGGCAAGAACAATATAAAAAAAAATTGAGCTTTGGTATCATGTTAAATATCTAATCTAAAACCAATTGATAATAGGTGAAGAGAGTCAAATATAAAACCATAAAAATTCAAAATTTAACAGATGTGATAATACCACTATATCAAATATAAATGTCTCCATGTTTGTTATAAATTTATGTTAATTAAAAATGAACATTACATCCTCATGTTTTATGATCATGGTTGACGCTTCCTCTTTTTTTTTTTTTTTTTTCATTTATAATTGTTCATTATCAACCATGTGCGCGGTCCTTTCACTATGGTATCTTAAGAGGCATGATAAAGTGATAATGGATGGGAGGCGGAGTCCCAAAATCATGCGCAGACAAAGCTGGTGGTGAGAGCTGTTAGGACCCTACATTCAAATTTTCTTCTTTCACTAAGTCATTTTAATAAGGAAATCGCAGGCTTTGTTAATTAGAAAATGCATCCACTTCTAGACATATACGTCAGCCTTTTTCTTTTCTTTTATTGTCTTCTCTCTCTCTCTCTCTCTCTCTCTCTCTCGTGTTTGTTATGTTATCCACATTCTCTTTCAATTCCGTTCTTGTCTACTTTCAGCTGTAGTTAACTGACGAGGATGCGTGCGTTGACAGGCACTGCCAGTTCATCAAAAGTAGCACTTTTCGACAAGGTAAAGACGGCAGCTTTCAGTTTTGTCTCATGTATTTTGGGCCTTAGTCATGCATCCTACTACAAATCTCCTATATATCTCTTCTTTGATTAAGGTAGGAAATTCAATATCTAAAAGAAAACACAGCCTGTACCAAAATGAAAAGAATATTATTTTGCCATTATATCATACTAATGAGATTCAAAAGTGCTTATATTGATGACTTATTACTTTAATTAGTCAGTGAATACAACAAGGGAGATGCTCATGATAAATGTCAACAAATAATTTGTTAAGTCAGAGTCCTGACTATTTGAGACCCTTGCATGTCTTCCAAAGTCCTAGAACCTGTATTTTTAACCTCTGCTTACAATAAGAAATTAAATCCTTGAATTCCCAACTCTACAATCCTAAACTGAGCACTTATCCAGGATCTTAAGTTCCAAAAGATGCGAAAAAAAAAACAAGAGAAATTAGCAGAATTATCCTTTTGTAACCATAAAGCAAGCACAAAAAAAAAAAAGAAAGAAAGTACTGTCATGAGGTAAAAATCAAGCATCGTGGTATAGAATGCTATCTAGCTAGAAAATGAAAGGTGCTGCACCTGAATCTTTGGTTCAATCATAGCTGCATGTATTCCCCTACTCAAAAAGAAAGATTCAAATCCCCTTCCCCAATCAAAAAGAGAAAGAAAATGAAAAGTGTTTTGCCAAATCACTTAGATATATAACTTGGAAAGATTAGACAAGCAAGAGACAATATGAGTCATATGACGTATGTAGGCATACATTTATAATATTAAACCTCTTAAGTATAATCTAAAAGCCAAATAACAGTTGCTTCCCAGAAAAGAGAAATAAGTAAACAAATGAAAGCAAGTTCCAAAAGCTAGCTTTTTAAACCCTAAAATTCATAGCCATCACCATATGTTTTGAGGTCTCCAACCAAAAGGTTCTGCTGGATTTACTGCAAAGGCAAGAAGGAACTTCAAGTTCTAGACTAGCTTCTAGAGCTCTTCCTCCTAAAAGTGAACTTCCATGAGCCTTTTGAAGATGAGGTGTCACATAGATCAGAGTAACATGTTTACTGGAGTTGATTTTATTCTTGGGTCACAATATAGAAACAAAGCAAACACTGTCTAGAAAGGTCACTCTTCAACAACATTAACAAGTTCATACTCGATCAGTGACAAATTGTTATCTTCCTTCACAGTGAAACTAGCAGGTTCAGTAACCTCAACACGACCCCACTTGTCCACTGCAAGCCTCATTGATCCTTTAAACATGTCAATTTTCGCATTGCGAAGAATTACAGTAGCGCCCTCTTTCATTAAGTCCACTACAAAATAAAGATGGTGTGTTAGTTGTAATTAACACTGTACTCTTCAAACAAATAAAGCATGGTTTGTCGCCTTCATTATCTGATAACACCACATATTGAATAATATCAAATCAAGGAAATCTTGAAATGCTTGAGGAAAAATATGCATAATCCCTATCAGGTTAGATCTCATATACATGAAATTTCCCTCCCCACTACAAATGATTTCAGAAAAGTGGTTTTTGCATCAGTAAGACAAAAAGGGGAAAACGAAAGATTATTGAACTCAACCACAAAGTATATGCAGCAGAATGCTTTTGAACACCTCAAAATGCAATCTCGTTGAGCTCAATAATATACCATAATAAAGTCAGACATCATAGTTGATGCCATATAAGATTTGCACTTGTTAGATATAAATGGAATTTTAGCATTAAAATTTCAGATATGGCTACAGATAAATAAACAGCTTGGAAACCTTAGCTGAACGAAATAAACGGATATTTCACTCTTTCATTCAGCATCCAGAAACCAAAATTAATCATACTTAAGATGTGCACTATTCATTCCTCATATTTATCAGTAACCGAGCCAGCTTTGGAACTATAGCTCTAGAAGATGCTAAAAGACATGAGGAATAGTGAATGGATAAAAATCACCACATCTTGTATAAGTAACTGCAAGTCTGGAAGCCCAATATCAAATAAAAACTAATTGAATAAAAGCCTACGGTTGTTGAAGTGCAAAAAAAAAGAACAAAAAAAAAGATGCAGACAACTTAAAATCTGCGTACTTATATCAGCCATGATATCTGAACACTAACTTGACCAAATAAGCTAATAGTCTGACATAGTGAAAGGTACAAATAGCATTTATTTCATTCCAAGTCACTATTAGCAACAGAGGGCCAAGATCACATATAAAGTAATGGAATAATCATTATATCAAGGGAGCCTTCTATTGTCAAAATTCATAAATGCAAAAGAAGAATAATCTTAAAATGTGTGAATTTATATCAGCCATGATATCTGAACATTTACCTGAACAACTAAGCTACTAGTTGATCATACCAAAAGCCACAAATGGCATTTATTTCAGTCCAAAACACTACTAGAGAACATGACTAGACTTTGTCGGATAAACGGTGTTAAAGGAATTTTGCCAAACCCCAACATTTACTTCTTTCCTTCCACAAGGAAATAAAAATATAATCATGTCAAATACAATTTGCTTCCATGACTAGCAGTTTACATATGTGAAAGAAATGTTGCATTACTCATCTTAAAGAAAAAGAAAACTACAATACAAAAAGTGATGCGTGACAGCAAAATTACCCGAGAGAAAATACAAACATAAAACTAAACTAAATGCAACACAGTAAGACGCATATCAAGTGAAACCTCTAGCAATAAAAAAGTAAAACTACCGCATAAATTAAGCCTGGGTCAACAAAAGATTATAAAAAATATACCTTGTTCATTTCTAGCGGTAAAGATAATCATTCCTGTCTCGTCTCCTACCAAGCATTCAGCAATTCGCATTTGACGAACTTGAGGACCATCAGCACGACCCTTCTGCAATACCATCTTTGTGCTGACAACCTTGACAGAAAGAGTGTGACCACTAGTGCCAGGGCGAAGTTGGTCCACCTTGGTGAAAACAGGTTTTCTCAATGGTTTTGATTCCGCCATTTCACTACCTTCAAAAAAAAAAAAAAAATAGGGATATCTATCATCAGACTACAAGAAAAACTAGCTTTGAAAAAAAAAAGAAAATTGCACCACATAAAATAAGCCCCTTAACCATGGGAGATATGAGGGAATTACAGCAGATAATTCACTACATTCCACATTTGAATTTTTTTTTCAAATCTAAACAACAAAAATTTAAATGGGTGAAAAAAAAGTTTGAAACACCCAAAAATTTCATGATTCGAACAGTTCGTTTCAAAAAGCAGTTACATTTAGCATCCAAAGGGATACTTAGATCTATGCAACTTGATACTTCATCTAAGAAGAAAATATAACCCCAATCATATTTAGATAGAACAGTAAAATCCCTAACTTTTCCCTAAAAATTACAGATTTTGATGGAAAAACAGATAGATCAGAGAATAACATGAATCAATGTAACGAATCAGTGTACTCTGATTCTCCTTTCTGATAATTTAACAGAAAGGTAACGAATGATGGTAAATTTTTCAAATGAAATACAAACGGAAAAAAGAAAAAAAACTGCAAATTGGATAGAAAATAAATACAAAAATACATGAAAGAGTCATAAAATTAGGGTTTCGAAGTTACCCTTGGATATTTTGAGAGCGAAATCGAATCAGGGATTAGAGAAAATGAGTAAAATAGAAAGACAGATCTCTTTGAGAAACAACACTTGCTAGTTGGCGCAGTCAAAGTCGGCTCCTAGAAGGAAAGCTTTTCGCATCAATATCCACCGTTGATGTCCGATTGAATTACTGCAAATCGCAACCGTACACGTAATCATTTTAGCTTTCCTTCGGATATTCCAAATGGTGTCGTCGCGACCTTTTTTTTATTGCATAAAGAATAAATTTTCATTGAACATTATTATTGTAATTTTATTTTTTGTTTTTTTTTTTAATAAAGCTAATGAAAATAGGATTTTTCCTAAATATTCTATTAATATATTTAAAATAAATTGTTATATTTCATATGACAAATTATTTTTTATGAAATTTTATATTTAAATACTTTTAAAATAATAGATTTAAAATAATTAAAAAACATTTTTAAATAATATATTCTTTATATCTATTTTTATATACATCCCATTTTGTTAAGATTCTTTTAAAAATTTTAGATTTTCAAATCATTTTTCAAAATATGAACTCTTAAATTTCTTTTGGGCCTAATTTGTCTTATTAAGCCTCAGATTTGATTTGGGTTACAAACCCAATATAAATTTGGTCTTTTTATTTTTTATATTTATTTATTATTTTTATCTTTTTTCTTTTAATTTCGAAATAAAAAAAGAAATTAGAAGTTGGATAAAAATCAAAAGCTTGCTGAGAAATTTGAAAACAAGTCTAGATTGAGATAAAGAACTCTATAATGATAAGAATCTATTACATTTTAATTTGAAGTTCTATTTGACTTAGGACTCATTCCTTATATTAAGGGAGAAATCGAGACAAGAATGGGGGAGTCGAAGAATCCATTAGAGAAACTAACAACTTCAATTCTCAATTATAATTAGCAACTGATTCTTAGCCAAAAACTATTGACAATCATACAAGTCTTCAACTCATCACCCCCCACTCCACTTACACAGCCATCGCCATCATTATGTTCACCAAAATTCTTAACCTCTGGCAACGAAAATACACAGCCCATTGACATAAACACACAGCAAACTCAAGTAGATCACTACTGTTGACACCAAATCAACCACATTGTTTTTTGTCATTCATCGTCGATTCAGCAACCATTACCATCAACCCAATAACCTCATGGATAACCACTACTTTTCACTATTACCCTCACCATTATCAGATAATCGAACCTTGTCATTAAAGCCATTGCTATTAAAACCAATCATCCACCCAAATAACCAAGCAAAGCCGTCCCCAATACTCAAACATAATACACAGCAAGAAACAAATTATACATAGAAGAGGAATCAAGCACAATAATCAGGAACAATTAAGGACAACACAAAAGCTGAAAGTCAAAATAATTGACAATTTATTGTTGATAGTGCTAGTGCTGGAATTTATGGTGATTGACGATGGTCGACATGATCTTGATAGATTAGGACCCACGAGGAGGACAAGTAAGGAAAAGAGACAGACATACTTATATCTCAACCTGATCAGACGATGAAAAAAGGGTTGAAACGGTAGTGGAAAGGGCAAGGCTTCATCTTCAGATTTAGGCCATTGGAGGTCGATTTTCAAAAATCTGAGCCCAGATCTGAGATAAGAAGACTGAGAGAAAGCAACGATGAAATTTCCGGCTTTATTGGATTCCGACTAACAGCAGAGTGCGGTGACCGACAACAGAGGTGTAGGGGAACCACCAGGTTTTGCATTTGGCTTGATGTTCGACTGTGCCCATTTGTAGAAAGGGCAGAGAAGATAGGTGAAGAGAGAAAATGAGAGAAAAACAAAGACAAAGAGCTTTATAGGATAGTGAAAACGATATCATTATAGGGTAAAGGAAACTGGGTTCCTAGAGGTATGCACTCAAACCAGGTTGACCTAACCTGATTACAGCACCTAGAACTTGTTTTAGCAACTTAACTAAGCCAATTGAATCAGACTGAACCGATTTGAGCTACATCAGTCCATTGACCACCCTTTAGCCAGTTAATTTTGGTTTTTTTATTTTTTTATTATTTATTATTTATTTCTTGGTTATTTGAATTAAAAATATGTTTTAATATTTAAAATTAAATATATAAATTCTATCTGATTATTGGAGAATTTTATGATGAAATTAAATTAAAATTATTTTTAAATCAATTCTATCAAACTATTAAAAGATTTAAATCTCAAATTAAATTTTATCAAACTATTAGAAAGTTTAGTAATTTTTTTAATATATATATTTTTAATCTTACGAAATTATCGGAGGATTTAAATCTCAAAGTTAAATTTTGTGAAACTATTGAAAAATTTAATGATTTTTTTAAAGCAAATTTATGAATAAATTTTAAAATAAAAATCCTATCAAACTATTGAAAGATGTGCCTCGAAATAACATTATGCCAAATTATTAGAAGATTTTATTGATTTTGAAAAATAATTAATTTCTTAAAAACACAGTAACAAATCTAATGACAAAACTTCTTTAGAGTGAGATACTACTATCCATAAATACTTTTAAGGTGAAAAAATATTCTTATTTAGCTACCAACCTATTTGAATAATTTTAAGATTAATTTTTAATATTAAATTTATTTGATATAATTATAAATATATTTTAAGGCTTGAATAACACGAAATCAACTAGTATAATCCTTTGGATGGGCTTTGTGAGAGTGTCATAACTTGTCTCACGCACAACCTTACTCTCGACCTAGTTCTAGTTTTATAGGCTAGAATTTAAAAATACTAGAGTCAAGCTTGGGACTTTTTGTTAAAAAAAGATGCATTCAATTAAGTGACCAATCGCATCTAAACAAAAAAATATATATTGGTGGCCACTCCTAAGTTTTATCTAGCGATATGTTTATTGACCTATACGTTATGATAGTTTAACGACTCTATTAGGACTTGCAAAGAGTTAGGCCAGTAATAGATTTTATGTTATCCAAGTCTTACCAAAATTAATAAGTTTTAATCTTTTTTAAATACTTTTAATTGGTTTTACTTATTTGTTTTTAGCATTTGTTGTTCTAGCATTCATGTTGCATAAGCATAATATGAGCTTTATACCAGGCTTTATCCTTTATGAAAGAGTAGAGTACCAATGATTTCGTAAGGTTCTATGCCTCTGCATAGGTTAGTGAAATACATTCACTTAAAGTGAATCTTTTCACTTGTACCCTATGATGGATGAGGATCATGATACCTTATTTGTTTGTCATCGACAATAATGTGTGAAATAATTTTAGAACCTTTAGATTATGAATCTAAAACACTAATATAGTGAACTCTAAGAGACCTAACTTGTATGTAAAGCCATGTCTTTCCCTTTTTGTAGAAATAACCTAAAATTATGTTGCATACCTTGTTGTATGTACATATATTATGCACTAACTTGGTTCTTTTTATATATTAGATTTTATATGGTTTTTTTATCTAAATTATGTTAACATCAATAGGATTGTAAATTTTTTTTTCATTCATTTCATGCATCTCACTCATTCATAGATTATCATCATTTATGTAATACATTCATCATATCATTGCATAATATAAAAGTTTTATTTTGTAATTTAGAAGACATGTGAGATTAATTAGAAACGCGAATCCATGCCATAGGAATCAATTAAGAGGAAATTGGATATTATCTTCGAGAAGTGAAGATGCAAAATACCAAGTTGGTAAAACTGGTTAAAAATATTGAAGCTATCCATTCTCAATAGTCCTCATCGCTTCCAACCCATTTGTGCATTAAACAACCATTATGTTAAAACTCACTAATCCCTCATAAGAACGATAATTATCTAAGACCTACTAGTTCATCCAATGGCCCATATAGAAAACAAATTCAAAAAGGGGCAAAAAAGACAAAACCTTCTAATTTTTTCTAGACTCCACAGATTAGTTCACACCCAAGTCCTTACTCTTATCTAGTTATTTTTCAACAACCCATTTTCACATCCCAAACAAGACTTGCTCCTAACCAACTCCCACAGATTGGTTCGAATTCATATTCCTACCTAGCCATGTATAATGCCTTCTAAAATTTCAGTGCTTATTATCCAATCCAGCAACCCAATTTGCAAATGAACCATTGGGCATATGCAGCTAATTCTTCTCCAATACCTACATTTGTAAGTTGAACAACTACTTAACCTAAAAAAAATCATTGAGTGAAAAGAAAAAGAGAGCCATTATTGACCTAATCCCTATGATTAACACTGAGTTATTCTCACAACTTCTTTAAAACTATCTAATAGCATCAGTTCCTTTAGAGCCACTAAAACCTCTTAATCCTAAGTAGTATGATACTGATACTCAATGTGATTATCACTTCGGAATGTGAACCACTCATCAAAAAATTACCTTGCTTTCAAATATAAGGTGCAAAGTTTAATTAAAGCTGGCTTGTAAAGTTTTGAGAATGAATGAAAACCAAAGATTGTTGAGAGTTCATTACTTAATTGTATTACTTGAAAAACCTATCAATGGTAATACCATGATTTTGAAGCTAAAATATAGAACCGGGTAATAGAATGTTAGTTGGAGATTCTTATCAAAACAATTTTTAATTTTTAATTAAAGACTTTTTTTCTTATTATGTGATAGCATTCAATCCATGCATCCATTTATTCATTCATATAGATTTTTTTTTTTTTTGCATAAATTTGTAGTTAAACATCATTCTAATTCTTAGTCGTGGTAATAAAGGTTCAAGAGCTTGATCGTCAAAGGTTTCAAGATAATCTATTAGCCACTTGTATAACACTTATGAAGCAAAATCAAAATGGCCGAATTGAGAAAATTGATAAAGCACAAGATTGAAATAAGAAGAGACTTGGCCTAGATAATGAAAATGTTAAAAAATCTAGATAAGAGAAGCTCACATTCAAAGAATTGAAGACCTTTTATACATTTTTGGGTTTGGTTCATATCAAACCCAAACATTTTAAGGCATACAATCATAATAAGCACCACTTTTTAAGGCATACTCATTTCTTAAGATACCTATAACAGTCGCACGAAGATAATTTTAAGAATACACTACTCGTGTTTTGAGCGAAGAAAAATCAATTCCA